CGTCACGGGTATCTTATTGTTGTATAACTCTCATGCCCGGCGGACAAATTGCAGGAACTGAGGGGAATCTTGGGCGGGAGGCGCTTGTGCCTCATGGGGGATCACATCATAAAATTGTTACTTTTAGCTCTAGAATGCTCCGAGAATGTCAGCGCAGGCGCAGACTAAACCCATATGTGTGAATTCACAGAGGTCCACTCGAAGAACCATGGTTACAGGTAAGTAACCTTTCTTTTTTACAGTTGGTATTCCATATGCAATCTGAGAATTGACCAAACAGTGTTGAACTTATTTGTACTGGGTTTTGCATGCAGTAAGAATGTTGTTCCAAACATGGGGGCTTTTCAAAGAGAGACAAGCAAACACAGTGTGTGGGCAGAAAGGAAGGGTGGGCTATTGCTTGCTTGCTTTCCTTCTCTGCCCCCATGTGTGGGACGCAGGTCTGGATAAGGTTAGTTATGTGATCCATCCTCAAGGCTTTCAGAGACTAGAAGTGAGAATATTTTCATCTGCTGCTGTATAAATCAGACCACTGAATTATGTGAACAACACATCCAGAAACTTTCTGGAATGATAGTTGGGTTCCTGTTCCTTCATATCCCTGAAGATAGCAATGGCAAAAGGGTGCTACTTACATAAGCATCCTCACATACGCAGTTGGCTTTTGTCATTGTCATTTACATAGATTTTTCACTGCTCCTTGTCCTTTACTAATCATGGGATGGTGGGAAGGAAATTTGTCACAAATGCACCGATGGGACTTTTACATTGCCTCCTTTCCATTTTAGGACGATGATTTTGAATTCACAGGCAGCCATTTGACTGTGAGAAATGGCTACTCCTGTGTGCCCGTGGCTTTGGCTGAAGGACTGGACATTAAGCTCAACACGGCGGTTCGACAGGTTCGCTACACAGCTTCAGGTTAGCACCACGAGGAATCGTCCCTAGCTCTGTAAAAGGAAGGTTGTGGCTTGGGCATAGCTTGTGAGACCATGGGCGCAGCTTCCTGTCACGCATCATCTGTGGTTGCTTGATGATTGGGCATGTTTCCTACGTCTTGCAATACAAGAAGTGATTAAATTTCGGCAGCAGAATGAAAAAAAAAGAGTGAAACTCTCAAGCACGATTGGGGGAATCCACTGTTACCTTCCCCCCATCAAGTAGGTCAAAAAGTTTAGAAATAATATGCTTTAAAAGACTATGTAACAGAATAGTGGCTGTTAGCTCAGACTGAGGAAGAATGTTTGGAGAAGAGGGTAAAATAAAGATTTTATGTAATGGAACCTGGGAACCAAAATGGGAAATAAGGAAGGAGATACGTGATGAATTTGTATGGCTTCAGGGGGAGGACTCTGCAGTATCAGTGGGACATTTATTGTTTGGAGCATGGAGATGCGGGTTTAAGTCTCTGCCTAGCAGTCATCATCTTAGAACTAAAAAGTAAGGTCCTTAAGGTGGCCTTGAGCAATACGTCCACATTAGCTGTGAATTTATTTTGGGTGGAGAATCACAAATTATTTATTTGGAGGTCCAACAGAAAAGACCATAGCATTGTGAACTGGTAAGAACGCAAATTCAACTAATATTCAGAGTTAAGGAACCAAAAATATGGATAGTAAAATTA